AAAATGTTTTATACTCACATCACATCACAAAACATAGATAACGGGTGTTTTGTTTTTCTTACTTTTTGGGACACTTGATTGCATTTAATCGTAAAAATATCGCTTTTATGTACCCACCCATGCTTGCACACTTCTGTTGGTGTCTTCAGAGGGATACTGCGAGATCTGACTACAATAGGAATGCCAATCGTTCGAAAAAAAAGACCTTTTTCAATGAAAAATTAAGTATTGTTTTATTAATTTTGTATGATTTCAAAAAATTCAATAAACACTTTTCATTTTGATACCTGATATGATAGCTTGGGTACCTATACTCCATATAGTAAAGAAAAAAATGTTTTATACCCATATCACATCATAAAACATAGATAACGGGTGTTTTGTTTTTCTTACTTTTTGGGACACTTGATTGCAGTTAATCGTAAAAATATCGCTTTTATGTATCCACCCATGCTTGCAGAGTTCTGTTGGTGTCTTTAGAGGGATACTGCGAGATCTGGCTACAATAGGAATGCCAATCGTTCGGAAAAAAAAGACCTTTTTCAATGAAAAATGAAGTATTGTTTTATTAATTTTGTATGATTTCAAAAAATTCAACAAACACTTTTCATCTCCAAACCTGATGTGATAGGTTGGGTACCTATACTGCATATACTAAAGAAAAAAATGTTTTATACCCATATCACACCACAAAACATAGATAACGGGTGTTTTGTTTTTCTTACTTTTTGGACACTTGATTATAGTTAATCGTAAAAATATAGCTTTTATGTATCCACCCATGCTTGCAGACTTCCTTTGGTGTCTTCAGAGGGATACTGCGAGATCTGGCTACAGTAAGAATGCCAATCGTTCGAAAAAAAAGACCTTTTTCAATGAAAAATGAAGTTTTGTTTTATTAATTTTGAATGATTTCAAAAAATTCAATAAACACTTTTCATTTTGAAACCTGATGTGATACGATTCTTTCAAGCATAATTCTCAATTGAGTTTGAGGTAAGAAATTTTAACTGCATACTGTGCATTCTGTGAATTTTATTTTTTTTTTAATTTGTTGCATAGTGTAATTTAATAACTGATGTAACTTTCTATTATACGCTTAAATTACTTGTTATTTTATGTGGTGACATGTGAGAATAGCGGTGAATGATAATAATAAGATACATGTTCTGCATGTTGTTGTTATTGTTGTTATTAAGCTTTAGTAATGCAGTGAACACAGCAAACTTCCGTTATGACAAGATAAAACAAATACCCAAACGAAACACAATCATGAAATATTGTCAATTTTACTGAAAATGTACAGTGGCCTGATGGGCACGGTGTCACGTGCCACTGCATCCAATCCGTAGGTAATAGAAAATACACAATAAATTACAGAACACAAAATTACCATAACGAGGTCGTCAATTAGTTAGGTTGAATTTTGCACAGAGAAAGTATGTAAAACTTTACTGGAAGAAGGGTTAAAACAAATTTTGGTAGGACAGTTTCAGAACTCTTTATATCAAATTTTACAAATTTTAATTGTCCTAAAAATTTGCTAATCTACTATAGTGACATCTAGTCGGCCAAGTCAAAAATATCGTCCTCTTAAGACTGATAATAATCTTACGCAGAAATTTTAAATTTACTTAATCAACGTTCTCTTCTTCGTGTTTAATCTCAACAATTTCTTGTTATTCTACTTTTTCATACACAAATTTTAAGTCATTTTTCGAATTTATTTGACTATACTTCGAAAGTGAGGGAAAATCTGGCTACATAACCTTACACCAATTTTTTTCAAGATAAATTAAACATATGTATGTACACTAATACTTCAAATGCATACTTTCAAGTACTAATTTAATAGTCATTTCGTGTTGTTAATTTCCTGTGTTTAAAAAGACATTCATTATTTTAACAAATACCGCAAAAACTATTGATTCATCTTTACTACATCATTTAACGTTTCTTAACTAAAAATTGTCAGTCGTATACAATATGGCTAAAATGAAAAACCTAATAACTGTTCTTTCGTTTTAAAAGTCATATTGGTAATACTGTTGTTACTACTGCTGTTATTATTATTCGACATAAAATAACAGAAATGTAAAAAAGCAATTTTCTCTCCCACTCAATAGAGAATATATTACATCCCACTCTCTTAACTGGTGTCACACTAAGTCATAATCATGATAATTCCCATCTACTAATCTAATTAATCCCTAATCCTTAATTTTAAGGAAATTCAGCTTATCAAAGTAATATCATATACTTACTTTAGAAATCTGGAAAACCGAGTTACATTACAGTTCCTTTAATTAATTACGTGAGTGCGGTAGATATTTGTACATTTTTTATTTGTTTGTGTTCTCAGAATTCATATTGCGAATTGTAACGAAATATCGATTCAAGACATGCTTTTGTTTCAACTAAGTAAAATAAATATTGATTGAGTAGGTTTTTGATAAATAAGACGAAACATGTGGAAATCCTATTGTTTTTGTCAGCACTCAATCAACTTGATATATGTTTTCCTTAATCGATCAGTCAAAACACTATGAACATTTATTTTCATCGCAACAAAGCTTTTCACAATGGTTTCGTTTCATTAAAAAGAAGGGATAAACAGTTTTAAAAGGCACTACAGTCGTAGTACACGTTATTTTTTTTAAATCCCTATTGGCTTGCAAAGTTGCATCGTAACTGATTATCACAGACAATGTATCAACTATTTTTAGATATAAATGGCTAAATATATAAAAATCCGTACACCATCAATCAAAACGACTTAAATATGATTTACCCGAATTAAGTTCCTCAAACAGAATTAATACGCAACTTGATATAAACAACAATCCTAATTCGCTCTATTACATATTATACGGATATTAACGGCATTTAATGGAATAAATCGCATTCCATTTGTTAATAATAATTAATATCTCCTTAAGAGTATCACGTGTCTACATTATTTAAAGATCATTCATAAAATGTATTACTCATAACGTAAATATTTTTTTAGTGATAATGGCAATTGTATTAGTAATATCAGAAGTGGGATTTGACAAATTAATGAGGTTGAAGAAGTGAATCAACGAAACCATGGATAAGAAAAGGAGATTCTAGGAGAAATCTATTCGAAAATTACAACAAGCAGAAGCATTTAACAAAAAACTTATACATAATTTCCAGGATATTTCTGAAGGATGTTGTTGAAAAACGAAGGCAAGAACTTCGATTCCAGAGATATTTGGTATTAACTGAAAGCTCTAATGAAATTCTGGAATATCTGGGAACTAAAATGAAATTCCATAACAAAATTTCCATTTAGAATGGACAGAGGAATATTTGGTATACAGCAGAGAATGTCTTGAAAGAGAATAGCTACTAGAAAAGATTAAACAGAACATAAAAACAATGTTAGAAAACATGTCTAGTGAAATGAAATATGGAAACTTAAATAATAATTATATCAAATGACAGAACGGATGAGCGTGAAAGAAAATGATTGGAAGAGCAAGGCTGAAGATTTTACAAGACTATGCAGCCGAAGAAGGATTGAGACTATCGGTTATTAGTTCGAGAACAACATGATTTATAAGTCTACTTTAAAAACAATTACGTGGAACTAAGGAGAGACAGGTGTTAGGTGAGACCCTCCTGAATAATTGCAATCATACACACCTTTGCTGACGACTGTAATGCAAAGGTTAGTCTAAAGTTCAGTGGAAACGCAAAGTTGAATAACTTATGGTGTGGTCGGCCACAGAAACCGGAGCACTTCAGAAAATTCTGAACAGTATGTGGTATCTACCCGGGTAGCAGTGAATCGAAGAAGTTGTTAGCACTATAGATGTGTTACTAATTCACATGACAAGATACAACGAACAAATAGAACTACTTTCAGCAAATCAGTTCTACAAAACTTGTTGTTCAAATGCAAATGTAAAAAAATTGGTGTTGCCCTTTCGTTTTCCAAAGATTTTGCATTTCGATTGCCTCAGACCCAAAATCGGCTATTACCGGGAAGCTCTAAAAATTTAAAAATAAATATATACTACACCGCTAGTGGAACAGTTTGATGTTTTTCTACACTTTGGTCCTAAATGAACAAAATTTAATTTTTTGCCTCTTCACACCACCTGACACAAATACAAATCGGTTTTGCATTCTGGATTATGACTTAAAATTTTATTCATTTCGTTTAAAATTTCTATGTGACACGTGGCGAAATGACATAATCATGCTCACTTGTGACAAATTCACTTATTTGTTTATTAGTTTACCATTAGTTTATTTTCGAGTTAAACAGAAATATACAAAAAAGTTATATGGAAATATGCAAAAATTAACAGCAGAATTGTAACACGTGTATACGTCACTCCAGAATGCAAACAAAACCATATTGAATAACTGACATACGACCTGCTGATGGCGTTAATACCACTTTATCCGCAAATACATCAAATGAGAGGAAACACTCCAAATCAAAATATAATAATCCGAACATGGATCTACGTTGTGTATTTGTCAACATAATTCTGCGATTTAAGTACAAGCTGTCTTACGTATTTTAGTTAAAAAAAAAATAGATTAATGTTTGAAAATTAATACACAGAACGATTATTGTGAGATAAATAGCTCTAATTTACCTTTTTTTTAATCAGACTACTAAATCATTAATTTATAATTTTTTTAATTTTAGAAAATTATTTAATTTAAGTAATCATTCAAAATAATTGACTTAACCTACTACAATCCTAGAAATTGTAGAAACAATAACTCTGCTGCAACTTTTTATCACAGATGAGTAAGCAAAACCAACAAAAACAGAGCATTTCAATATGACTCGTTAAATTACAACATGTGTTTTGATTTCAGTAAAAATCTGAAACGTTCCAGGATTGCAAAATCAACAACGATCAATTCACAGAATATGACTCGATCAAATTGAGACACGTGTTGACTTGAACAAAAATCTGAAACGTTCCAGGATTGCAATATAAACCTACCTTTGATGCGAATCCCAAGAAAGATAACTTTCGTAGATTAGTTCTAGCGGCGTTATTCATTTTATAGCACTTGAAATAAACACCATTAACTGAAAAGTAATCCAAACTAAGACTCAATTAAGGCGAATAAAAATCACAATTGTTTTCGGAACGCGCACTCTCCACAAATTCACAAATTCGCGGATGACGAAATCGAAACGGAATAGATTTTTTTTCTAGGTGATCGTCCAAGTCGGGTAATTGCAAATAGAACTTGAAAAAACATGGGGTATCCTAAATCCGACGTTTCGACGTCCTTGAGGGCTCCTGAGAAAGAGAAACGCGTCGTATTTTTCGTCCCCGTCTTGTATCAAAAGTCAATGACTGGTCCTGCAAAAAAAAAATCTGTTACAATGTGTGCCGGCGGGTGAAAGTTAAATTTAATGATCAAATTATAACGTGTTGAGATATTATATCGATGAAACGCAAAACATCATGTGATTCGCTAGCTGTTTTCAAGTACAATTATGTACACTTAATTGACCATATGGGAATTTGTGATTGACTATTGTTAAATTGTTAACCATTTATATACTAATGTGTTTATGCAGTCTATTGTAAAACTGCTGTTTCCGGTGTATTTATCTTTTTTGGACGTTCGCAAGGTACAAAATTGCAATAATGATTTAATTATTTTAATTCTGAGTTCTTTGTTGTTGTCAGTCGGGTAATTGTATTAATTACTGATAATCTGATTTTTAATTTATCTGATCAGGAGAAGAGTATTTTAGGTCTATACATATCGTTTGTTGAATTTTTTTTTTAACCAGTCCTGACAGACAATTCTGACTTAAGTATGACAAAAAGAAAAATGTAGCTGAAGTATTATTGTGTTTCGTGTTTCCCCATTCTTATCAAGCAGAAGTGTGTTACCCAACTTATTCAGACACATTGCACAGTATAAACAAAAATAAAAGAAAATATGTATTATTGGCATGCATCTATTTTAATATAAAAGCCAAATGAAAATAGAAACAACTTATTAATTGAAATAGATTACCACGCTTTAAATGTAAAACAACAAAATTACTTATAACTAATAGTAAATAATCTTTTATTTTCTAAAAAATCACATACAATTCTGATAAATGAAACACTACAATATATCATATACATATATGACCAACCTTTTATTTCAAAATTACAATACAAAAAAATGGTAATAATATTAGTTTCAAGTGTTTCAACATCCGAGATATTTGGTAAATTATACTCCTAAACATAATTATAAACTTTTATTATGTTCTGAAAATTTTTGATTGGTGGTTTTGCCATAAAAACGAACTTCCGGGTAAGAAATGGTCAAAAAGCAAATGTGAAGTTCTCCTCTAGATTTCACAACAAATTTACACATTTTAGAAATTAATTTAGATCAGTATTACACAACCTTCGTCACGTGAAAGTTGGAACATTGACTGCTATAAAGTTCACCTTACAACAAATGATATATGAATTACTAGCACACTTGCTTAATATATAAATTGTGACAATGTCTATAAAAAATTGCAACTATACGATAAACAAAACAAATAAAACCGTAATCACTCACCTCATATTAATTATGGTTTAGGTTTTTTATTCTATTGTAGAATATTTACTGATTTTATTATAAAATGGAAAAAACTACCCTCCCAAAGTACCAATTCAATTAATTAACTAATGCGATAAATTAAGAAACAATGTGCAATAAAATCTACAAAATAGGACATTAATTCTATAAAAAAGTCCTCAATAAAACAATAAAAATCCATCAGAACGCTAAAAATCTCAAACGTTTTTAAATACAACCCAATTTTTTGCTTATTCTAAAAAGGAATAAAAAATCTAGACAAAAATGTGGCATAATTTCAATCCCTTCTCGAGATAATTCACGACGAAAAAATCGAAATAGTTGTTTCCAAAATGTGGTTCGTTGAGTTCTTTAATATAGTGCCTGAAGATGAAGGTATACATGCTTTCGAAACATGGCGCAGCAAAAACAAAAGAATAAAACGTATTCTGAGAGAAGTCGTAACAGTGTTATTTTTAGTTTTATTTGGATCATCACTGACGTAAACACCAACTGCATAAATGCAGAAAAATGCTGTTATCTCTTCACTAACACCATTAAATAAGCAAAAAAGCAACGCGGCAAAATAGAGCACACGAAAATTTCAAACTGTATACATAATGCGAGAATATGGTTAATATTAAACTTTAAAGGTAAATGAAGCTCTACAAAACCCTTCCTTTAATAACTACCAAGGTGGTTCATCAGCATTTTAAATAAACCCCAGTTTTAATTAAATTTCCGGCGTTTTAAATCCACATTATGAATTTAGAAGCAAATAGATTACTGTAACTAATTAAGCACATTGTGAAGGTCTTTTCAAGTTGCTGATCTATTACTGAACTGTGACAATTCTGTTTTTTGCAAATTCTCGTGATCGCAAATTAACAACGCATAATAAATTAATCGTTAAATAATTCGTATATATTAAAGCGCCGCCAACAGCTGCAGTTCGCTCTTACACGATTAACTACTTAAAATTAAACTCATCCTTTGATGTTTCCCTCCTTTACTTCTAATGAAAATGCGGTATTTAGGCCTGTTTTCCACAACCTGATGTACTATTTTAGAATCTAGGGTTTAGCCTATAAACCCTTACAAAATTTCATGTAATCATTTTCCTCGAACATACTTATATTAAATTTAATTAAAATAAGTATTTAAACTTTTTTATTTAATGCATGTTGGACTTTTTGACAATGAACTATACGGATTATTACTATTTATCTTAAATATGTTTTTTTATGCATTTCTGTTATCTACAAAAACTGTATCGTAAATTTATATGTTGAATAAACTAATTTTATCACCCGCGTTTGATTTGCACTTACTTTATGCCTCATGCATTAGATAGAAACTTTGAACACTACAAACATTCGCTAGCCCGAACAAAATGTGCCCGGTTTGAATCAAAAGTAAACCACCAAAAACAAAACTGTCTAGTGAAATATCATCAAAGCGAATTTATAAAGTTTAATCCTCGCTTGAGATTAGATAAGTCTTTATATGAAACAATAAATTATATTTTTATATAATTTTTGGATATAAATAATGGTAGATTGATCCGCAGCTTAATTTAGAACTATTCAATATTCGGCTAGACGTGAAACCGTTGGAATTTAACAGAAAACCATTGGAAGTGTTTCATGTGAATAATGCAAAGCCAAAACAAACCACAAAAATCATTGAATGGATTTTTTTTCAATATAAATACCACTTGGAGTATGCGACCGTGTAGTTAGAATCGAACAACGATTTGAAATAATTTGTTACGTAAAATTTGATAATTTTGATGAATTATTATGGGTTATAAATTATAAGCAATTTCCTAAATGCGAATTTCGTAAGTTGGAGATAAATATAAAAGGTAAAACTGTATATTCAAAGAGTTTTGCAATTTAACCATTCAATTAAAAAAAAATTGTGTGTATGACTATTTTATACTGATCAGATTTTAAAATCTAGTGCTTAATGCCAACGTGGCACCGAAAACTATTTTTTGTTTAAATCAGTGCACGTGTTTGTGGATTTTTTTTTATGCATTATGCTGGTATTTTCACTTACTTTCTCAACCAATCAATTTTATGGCAGATTTTATTTTGTAAATTTTCTAGTGTTAAATTTACTTTCTCGATCACTGGTAATTTTGAAGTAAATATAACACGTACAAGCAAGACTACTAATTATGTTTCATTACATATTATACGCATTTTTCTAAATTGCAAAACATAATTATTAGAAACTGCTATCAAGTTCAAACTTGGTGTCGTACTGGAAGAGATGTGATGATAAGAAATTAAAATTCACGTAAGGTGATTGAAGAAAAGGTTAATTTAAATGTAACCTATTTGAAAGTCCGTGATTGCCCACCAAATTGCCGATGTGCATTATAAACGCAAGTGGAAAAAGCCATACAATAATTCGTAGTTTTTACTAAAACAGAAAAACATTTTAATCAATATACTAAAACAATTTCAACAAATCGATGATTAAATTCATGACAGCAACTGAAATTCATGCTCTCCAGCCGACTTCCGAAGACTTTTCAAGTTGTATTTGTAAAGCAATTTTTTTAAGCAAAGTTTGTCAACACACCAGAGTTACAAAGGGATTAAAAAAATCAGAGTAACTTGTTGAATGCTTAACAAAAAAATTGACCTAAAATTATTTCACACTATCAGTTCAACTACACTTTTCTATTTATTTTTGTTTTTGTGATAATCCCTATACGTTAAAATAAAACTAAAAATCGTATGTTTCAAATGAATTGTTTGTTAACAAAATTTCTGATCACATCACGAACTTTTTAGAGAGGACAAATACATCACCGTACGTATAGTGTAACACGAAGAAATACTTAGTCAAAATTTCAGGAAAATTAGATAAACCGTTGTTGGTTCAATAAATAGCTTTTTCAATTTTCTTGAGACTTCTCTCATTCCTGAAACACAATCAAACAAGTCGTGTTTTAAATAAATTATAAAAGCAGATTCTAATTTTTTGGGAAAATTGTTAATACGAGTCTATCAATAAAATTCATTCATTCATTTTTCATGTTCATCCTGTATAAATAATTTCAGAAATAAAAGCATATTGCTAAAGCCAAAAAAACCATTGCATCTCGAAGCATATTTGTTAACAACCATTTATTTAATAATTTTTTGCAAAGTGGTCATTAACTTTCTCGGGTGAATAAATAAATAGATCAATAAATCTGAATCGTACTGTAAATTTTAAATCGATTTTAGCACCTTTCCAAATTAAAAAAAAATGGTCGCCACAATTGGGTACAATATGAAATACACAATATTGCAAAATTTTAGAGGATTCGCTTTGCAGTTTCACAGTTAAATATAATATTTTATATTATAATTTAATTTGTTTTATAATAACCCCTATAGGTTAAAATAAAGATATGTGGTGCGGACTATTAAAGCACAGGTAAAGAACCATGCTATGTGTATGTTTCAATTGAATTTTTCCATAACAAAGTTTTGCGATGATATTATCAACACTTTGTGAAAGACACACATATCAATTTAACATATGATGAGCCCTTCTTGATTTGTTCAATAAAACAGATTGCTTTATTCATTCATTCATTTTTTTTAGTCATCCTATAATTCTAAAAAATTTGAATGCATTCGTAACCCACAAATATAGATTCATAGTATTTTACACAGGATTTCTTCGGCAAAATTTTGGGGATAACTTCGTCCATTTTTTAGGAGGGGACAAATAGATATATTATGAGTAACGGCTTACCATACTTACTTTACAA